TACACCAAACCAATGTTGTTATAGGAAGTAGCCAATGAAGGATGATTCGGAGGCAAAGCTTTTTCCGTAATTTTCAGATCTTTTTGGTAAAACTCAAGCCCTTTCGAGTAGTCGCCTATGTTGTTATACACTTCACCAATGTTGCCGTACGAGGTAGCTAATTCCGGATGATTTGGAGGTAGAGCTTTTTCTTTAATCTTATGTGCTTTTTCGTAAAATTCAAGTGCTTTCGAGTAGTCACCCATGTTGTTGTACACCAAACCAATGTTGTTATAGGAAGTAGCCAATTCCGGATGATTTGGAGGCAGAGATTTTTCTTTAATCTTATGTGCTTTTTCGTAAAATTCAAGAGCTTTCGAGTAGTCACCCATGTTGTTGTACACCAAACCAATGTTGTTATAGGAAGTAGCCAATTCCGGATGATTTGGAGGCAGAGATTTTTCCTTAATCTTATATGCTTTTTCGTAAAATTCAAGTGCTTTCGAGTAGTCACCCATGTTGTTATACACTAGACCGATGTTGTTGTAGGAAGTAGCCAGTGAGGGATGATTCGGAGGTAGAGCTTTTTCGTAGGTTTTATGTGCTTTTTCGTAAAATTCTAGTGCTTTCGAATAGTCACCCATGTCGTGATATACTCCACCGATGTTGTTGTAGGAAGTCGCCAATGAAGGATGATTTGGAGGCAGAGCTTTTTCGTAAATTTGATGTGCTTTTTCGTAAAATTCAAGTGCTTTCGAGTAGTCACCCATGTTGTTATACACTAGACCGATGTTGCCGTAGGTGGGAGCCAATGAAGGATGATCTTCTGGGAGAGCTTTTTGGTAGATTTTGAGGGATTTTTCGTAAAACAAAACTGCTTCTTTGTATTGTCCTTGGTCCTTTTTCACCCATGCAAGCTGGTTATAGATATATGCCTTATCACTATTGTCGGATGCTTGTTCTAGTAGTGCGATATACAGTTGTTCGGCCTTGTCGAATTGACCAATTTTGAGCAGCAATGTACCCATTCGATACCATCCATTGCCATCGACCTCTTCTCGTATACGATCGGTTAATCGGCGGAGCTGTTGGTCGTCGTCTGACGTAAGTTTTAGGTCCACTTCATAAAGTGGACTTGTCAAGTGAATTTTTCGAATGTCACCAATTCGAAAAACTGTATGCATGGAGAAGAGAATTTCCTCTTCTTCCTTGAGATAGCTTTGCTCCTGGACGGAGGCGAATGGAGCCGATGAGATTGTGGGATCTATGGCCATTTGGAAAAGAACACCGACCATATCGGTTGCTTCCAAGCTACTTCCAGCGAAATAGAGGGAGACTTCACGACTTCTACTGGTGGATAGAAAAGCATTAAATGAAATAAGTCCACCTTTGTTTTTTGAGAGTTTTTCGAAGTCTTCTGTTGATAATTCTTGGCCCCGGTAAACCAGAAACGTCTTCCCTTTATAGAGGCTGACCTGTTTCTTGTGTAAATGTTCGATTTGTCGATGAACATCACGCAAGAAAAATCCCATTCGGATGATGATGTCACCATCCAGTGTGCGTAATGCTCGATTGAGCATTTTGTATGTGAAACATTGGCGTGTATACCACCATAGTGCCAATGTTGGGTTATACTCACGTCGAAATTCATTAATAATTTTGATTTCTTTGGTATTGCCTTGATATTGGTCTTGGCAAAACTTGACCAAGTCGTTGATAGCTTCTTGGCCATGTTCCATATCAAGGAGAATTTCCTTGAATATTTGTGAATACATGAAGGTAGGTTCTAACTGATTGAGATTTTCGCTAGAACCTCCTTCATTAACACCGACAATACTGACCGAGATATTCTTTTGATTACATTGTTTAACAGCTTTTTCCAAGGCCTGACATATTGGTTTGATTGATGTGTAAACACCTTTAATTTTTGTCCAATTTTTGGCCCATTCTTCATGGTGCTGTTTGTTGCCACAAAATATGTAGATTGTATCTACTTTTGTCATGCCATGAATTTTTGGGGCTAGATGTTGTCCAAGTGAACCCGAGGAAATAACAAATGATGTCTCCTCATGATTTTCATCGAGCTGTTGAACACATTGTTCAGCCGTGGTGCATGGGTTGACTTGATTGACGACACCGCGCAATTGCACTAGTGTATTTTGGACATCTTCATTTGCCATGTCGATGTTTCCATCGACCCATATGACCAAGTAATTTTCAGCCATGCGTTGTCTTTGATGTCGACTCATTGCCGATATAATGTTTGCTGTTCGATTAGTAATGGAGTAATGTGAATAATAGATTGTTGCTTGGACAGGTATCACCTTTCTATTTATGCATTCAATATGGGCTGTTTTTTGAGATTTTTCTACAACGTCACATGTGGATATGTTTTTTCTTTTTCGTTGACACTCAGAAACAAACTCCACCTAGTATCAATTGAAAATATAATTCTCAACAGCAAATGAAAGAGAAAAAATGCAACGACATTATTTTATGGTTATTCTTTCCAACTTTCGTTTGCTTTTCATCTACACAACCACTTAAATGTAAGCGTTTTAGACATTTTGCCTCTCTTTTTTTCTCTTTCGGGCAAGAACGGAAAAAATCAACAAAGACATCGTCAGTGTTCGCCTTCTTTTACTATGATTATAATAGTAATTGTAATAATGTGAAGCAAAACAAGAAGAAAAATAATTTCAATTTTCATTGACATAATAGTCGAGCAACGATGTTTTCGTATCTTGCGAAATATTGTATACATCATTAACGATTGATTCAAGTAAAAATAACAGTTCTCATTGTAGTCAATTCTCGAACGACATGTGTTATACCCAGGGCTGCCAAATCCAAATTTCAAAAACCAGGAGTTTTTTGAGAAAAATCAGGAGTTTACCAGAAGATTTTTACTGAAAAATCAGGAGATGTTTACTGGAATCAGAAAATGAGTTAGTGGTCTTCTCTCAAAGAAAACTGAAGTTCTCGTTCATCTAATTACTTGTTATGTTCTTCTACTAAGTTACTGATGACAAAATTTCCTTTAAGTGATATATATTACAAAAAAAAGATAGTTCTGTGGAATTTATTTTACTACTCATTTCACAGTGGTTCATCAAAATATACCGACACAATAGAAAGTGAAGTTTAATTAGACCTTAATATGTAACTAAACAAAATGAGCATACATGAACAATAATTTATCAACTATACCGTTCATGTCACTTTTGTAACATGACCATAAACGGAAGGGTCACAAGGCTTGAGTATGCTCGAGCCTACTCTAGATTGAACAGTTAAAGGCTTAGGTAGGTTCGCGGATGGAATAAATGAAGACTTAGATAGGATCTATTCATAGACGATGGAATCACACGACTTCAGTAGACTAAAGCCCATTTTAGGTTCAGATTCCATAGATTATGGTACCCTCAAATAATTGTTTTCTACTACGTCAAATTGATAGGTTTGTGCAGTACATAAAAACTTTTGTATGGACGTCAAGATTTTTTGCCACTATCGGCAATAAATAGTAACATTTATTGAAACAGACCTAGAAACTATTTTTGAGAAAACTTTTAGTTTTGTGTGGCTAAATGTCCAATCTTGGGTCAGCCATGATTTAAAGTGAGGTTCTTTCGTTAAAAGTGACGAAGAACTGCATAAAAAACCTGAATCATATCAGCTAGTAGCTGCCAAAGACTTTCATCATTTTTAGCAACTAAATTCACATACCCGAGCATTAGTGTTATGAGAGTAACTTTTCTCGATTATTCTTTTTGTTCTCAGAAAAAATTTTTTATTCTCGCCCATATATTCTCTTTTTCGGAAAAAAATTTTTATTCTTGTTCTTACATTCTCTTTCTCAGAAAAAAATAGTTATTCTTGTTCTTACACTCTCGTTCCCGGACAAAAATTTATTTCCACTTTCATGAGCAGAAGCGCACACCAATCCATACATCGGTGGTGTGTAAGTGTGACTTTTTTTTTCTTTCAGCAGCGACTGAAAATGCTCAACTTTTTTTATTTGTCGGCGGAGACGAGTGAATTTGTTGGACGATTTCTTTAAGGTTTTCTTATTTCCGAGAAATTGTCGGATGGAAAAAGAAAAAACAATGGTAGAGAACACACTGATAAAAAAACCTAGACAGAAACATCGTTGACAAGTGATCTCAGGCGTCGAAAAATCTTCAAAACTGTTAATTTTTTGTCCCACCGACAGCTGCGACTCAGCTCGTCGATTTTCACTTCTAATTCTAAGACTTCAGAAATTCATATTCCAGTTTTATTTTTAGATTTTAGGATAACCGTGACATGACTTCAAATTAAAAATATAATTATGATTGGAGCTACAGTAGGTTAGTTACATAAAAATAAAAAGCTGTTACATACATGTATCGGAATATGTATGCAAATACGAGAAAAAATGCGAGAACACCAATACTTAATGGATTTCACATTGCCATAAGAAAGCTGTTAGCGCAATCCCTCGCAGGATTAAAAACGTGAAACACGATGTAGCTGCTGCTTCCAATGTTCTAAAAACTGTTGTTTTCTATGCATATTGGCGTACATTTCTTCATCATGGCTTACTTTACATTATAGAGGTTGAACAAGATAATACTATATATACGCTCCAATCATATGTTAGTTATACATTATCTCTGATATTTCTTTGAAGTCTTCTATCACAGTCTATGATGGCTCCTGAAGCCCATCTGTTAGAGTCTATGATAGGTTCAAAGCCCTGTCTGTCATGGTCTGTGATGGGTCCAGAACCCTGTCTGTCACAGTCTGTAATGGATCCAGAACCCCGTCTGTCACGGTCTGTGATGGGTCCAAAGCCCTGTCTATCACGGTCTGTGGGGGGGGGGGTGCAAATTTTTGCCCCTAAACACTTCAACACTCCTTTCAGATCGTGTCTCACAAAATGGAGCGAGAAAACGACGAGTATAGAAAAATATTCTCGCAGAACAAAATCTTTTCAACACAGTAAAAACATTGACAATGTAATGTCGTTTTTGTGAACACTGCTGCTTGGATATTATTTTGCTTTTCAGCAAAGCAGATAGAAAACAATTCTTGCGAGAGTTGAAAGTCAATGAAGATAATTATCGACATGTTTTCTTAAATGCACGTTTTTTGACATATAAGTTGCAAATGCTTTTCTTATCTCTATCAGCGTCATACATTACAAAATACGAGTTCAAAATGAGAAATACTAACTTTGTTTCATCAAGATGGCATCAAAAAAATTGGCTTACTCCATATTTTTAATTTTCTAGTGCAAATCTTGTAAAAAATTGTTGAGCCTACCCTAGATTCAAAACGTTCCGCCACCTATGAACATGGCCATATTTGTCTGAAGACTGAGTTAGTTTCAATAGATTTGAATTATTTAAAGGATGGTTATAGAACTCTGTACAACTGAGATGATTATTCATTCTAGTTCCTAATTATGCACCAATAAGATTGCACCTCAAATCGTTTCTATTCTCAGCCCACAAAAATTTCATATGGCTGGAGGTTAATTCACAAATAGCATTCTAGGTTGATATAGAAAAAGCGAACTAAACTAGTTTTTGTGCATGAGATACATTTTAACCGTCAAGAAGATAAGCTCACAAATAAACGCATGTTATCAGGCCTAACAAGCAGAAACGACGTGTTTTCTTATTGTCTATTGCATCTATGAAATAGTGTGATAGTTCTCTTTTTCTTTGTCTTATTGATTCAAAATATCAGTACAATTAAACGGGACAAAATCCTTTAAAAA